ATCGCATTTAGCCGGTTTAAAAGGATTGGAAGTGCTGTCACCATTTTTGGGATCTATCCCACAAAACAAACCAACCTCAGTCAGCAATTTGGAGATATTAAATTTCTTAAATAATGGACTGGTAGCAACAAATCCTGGTCTGGATCTTCTCAATCATGGACTTGGCTTTGGGATGGCAGCTTTACGAGGACTTGGAATTATAATGGAGAACAATCGGCAAAATCATGACGTGGCACAGCAATGAAAGACTCATTTCAGGTAATTCTTTTCGTTTAATTAAAAGTATTTCACAACCCTTAATATTTATTCCAGAAAATGGTATGGTGTATCATTTGTACAAGAATGCAGAAGATGTACAGAACTGCAGATTATTTAAAGTCAAAACATTAATTTTCGCATGCCAACAAAAATACTTCGGTTATTAATGCTTTTAAGTAAAAAATTTTTGACGTTTTTTCTGTCAAAACGTTAAGCTAATGTCAGTGGTATTTGCATATCTCTCAGGAAACAGATTCAATTCTGAAATAATCTGGAATACCATGTCTCATCCTTTAAAACCCATCTTACCTTAGACTCCCACAAAAAGCCATTTGTAATGGACCACAAGTAAATTCCATTTATTTCGATATTTTGCTCTGTAATGTATATGAACTTCATCTTGACTGGAATATAAAAAGTAAATCACTCAAATCTTCAAAGCTGAGCTTTGATCCAAGAAAATTCCAGATATAAAGTTGGGAAACAGGGTCTGAACGTAGTTAATTCCTTTAAAAGTAGTAAGTGAAATAAAATTACTGAAAGGATTTAAGTACTACACATCTGAAATGAAACCAAGCAGTAGTGATGAGACAGTACTGAATGAAATGAGTATGTTTTTCGATCACAATCAAAATCGTATTACGAGTTGCTAAAGTAAAAGCGCATTATTTACAAGTACAGACCATATGAATAAGTAATGTGAAGTAAGTAATATGAAATAGTGGGACGTAAAAAGCGCTTTGTTGCGATTCGTATCGAATGAAACCGTAAGCTGGGCTCAAGTATTGAGAACCAGTAGGGACCAATTTATTTCTCTCATCACAGCCGTGTTCATATTTATCATTAAAAAAAAAAATCGTTTGAAATTAATAGTATAATCCTGTTAATCTAATTTAGCAGACATTTCTGGAGCTTCCGAAGTGCAGTTACTCTCTCGTCACATTCTGATAATTTAGCAAATTTTTTCGCCAACTCCGAAACGAAGTAGGGTGCTTTTTTGTACTGAAAATAATACCGATTAGTCTGTTGATAAAAAAACAAATCCCACGAACCTTCATTTCTGACTTAGTCCATAGCGGGATCAGTAGCTCAATGTGGCGTGACTCACAAGAGCGATAATATTAGGGAGCATGTAAACTTCCCATGTACAAACCAATCTTATCAGTAAAATGTTGGAATTTTAAAACTGCTCACCTGTTCACTGTAGCCACTTAATGCCACTATAACCGCACTTAAATTGGTCACCACATTTGGAACTTTGTGAAATGCTAACATGAAATGATAACACTGTTTCATGATATCTTTTCGGCGTCGCTCGTCGAGTTTATTTCGAATAATTTTAAACTGAAACTATGTTTTTTGCTTTCTTTGCAAAATATTGGACACATAGAACATTTCCTATTTTCGAAATTTAAAAGAAAATTCGAATGTGCTATGCATGAAGTCCAAATAAAATTAGAAACCTTCAGTACACTCCATAAGATGGAGCAAAGAGGAATCACTACTTCAGTTGATCCAACACTGCGATTGCAGCCGTTTAAAGAATCCAAAATACATTCCAGACCGCCATTGTTGAAAACGTACTGAGCGCACAATTCTGATAAACCAACAAATTTTCCTAAAATATTTCATGAAAGTAACGAAAAGCAAACCAGCTCGTGTTAGTGCTGAGAAGCGCTCTGCAAAATAAATTTATATTTTACAATCATAGCTGAGATAAAAATAAAACTAACGCAACACTTCAGTGGCTTTGTAACGAATGTAAAGGCGCTCTGAGTTCAAATTCTCCATTGCATTCATCACACGATTTATAATCGGCTGCTTTCGTTCAGATCGTTCTTCATTTGATGCTGCTTCTTGACGAGCAACACGATTCGCACCTATTTGATTGAGAAATGCCACATAATGCTTGCGAAGAAGATACCCACGCCACCATGCCTGGAAATTTTTAAGCAGCTAAAAAATTTATTACATGTAAATCTTAATTCTGTTTAGAATTATCAAACCATTTTCATAGGAAAAAAGTACCTGTACTGTTGTGGCAGCTTTTATGCGTCGGTCTCTCTCCGTTTTAAGCAAGAGTGCAAACTTCATTTTATCCTATAATACTTATTAGCTTTATGAATAATTGTTAAAGTCAGAAGAAATAAATGCCATTCTTTACTATTAATTTGGCGCAAATTATAGAAATTACCTCGACAGCTTGCAAAAAATTTTGACGTCTAAGCCGCAAACGATTGTGCTGTCTTCTCAATTCACGTAATACCCGTAGGCATTTTGCACTGCTGATAACCTCGCATCTATATATTTCGTTCTTAAATTTATCACTCGAGCATTCCGTGATAGAAATAGAATTCTGCAAATCATTAACTATTTTTTATATTCTTATAAACAAATAACTCCATTTTAGCAAATTTTCATTAGCTAAAACTTTTCCTGTTTCTCCACGTAGTTCTCGTTAGATTGTTCGCATAAAGTAAGCATGGACATGCAACTATGAGAATAAGAATATCTAGGAAGTCTCGAGAGAAAACCACAACGACTGCAAAGACATCGTACACTGGTCATTGCACAAAAACTGTTACAGTTGATAGAAACGACTGCCTACGACCCAACCTAATTGATACATTATTACAAGACACGCCAAGTTCTACAATAAATATAGCAGTTTCTTGTCCATGAAAAACCACTTTCTTCTAATGCATTAGCCGATAGTTTTCTCCACTATTCTCCCACCCAGGTATCACTATAAGCTTTAAAATAATGCAAATTGTTCGACCATCCGGTATTTTTTTCCTATTCAAACTCAGACACTTGAGAACCAAAACGTTTGATTTAAAAAAATATACAATGTAAAAAGTTGCAAAGACACTGAAGCTGGTAGAAAAAAAACAGTATCTAATATACCTGGAAAGTGATTGCTGCGTATTCTTGTTTATGTAAGGCTACTTCATATCGCATTTCACGATAGTTTTTACGGGCTGCCCAGCCACGTGCATGTCGCTAAATACATTTTAAGAATCATGATGGAAAAAAAGAATCATGACAAAATAATCCTTATTCGAATCTCAAAACCAAGACAAGCTCGAAGCGCAACACATATATGCAGTATGCAAATCCCAAGAGGCAAGTGCAACATACCTGCAACGTAACTGCAGCATTTTCGCGTCTACGTGAAGATATTTCATGCAGCAAATTCCGATAATGTATTCGTGTTAACCAACCACGTATGCAACTCTAGAAGTAAAATTTCGAAATCCCTTACGGCAAAATACAGAACAAAAAAAAAAAAACACAAGCGTTCCTCTCGGTGAATTTTATAAATCAAAATTCCAAAAGCTCTCTTTTATTTATTACCTCTGCAAAGGTTTCTAACTCTCAGTTTTCCTTAATCATGTTAATTATCTGCGTCAATTAACGAATGCCACATCGTTATGTTTACCTGTAAAACGCGCGCTGCATTCTCCCGTTTCTCCAAAATCCTTTTGTTTTGCATTTTGGATTTCTGTGCAAGCCAAAATCGAACGTGCTTCTAAAATTATCGTGCAAACAATAAAAATCAGGTAAACTGACCTACAATTTGGAAAATGACTACTCCACGAACAATATATCAATAGGAACTCACTTGTATAATAAGTGATGCATTTTCTCGTTTCCTCATATCCTGCTCATGTAATAACCTCTGATAAAAAGTTCTTGCAAGCCACCCACGAATAAATTTCTGAAAAGTTAACTGAATAATAAGGCATTTATTAAATATGGAACAATTTAAATAATAGGAATTATGATTGAAGAAAATAATTGTGATTCCATCTACATTCGAGTCTCAAAATTGTGATAAGCTCAAAACGCATGATATATAGCATGCAAATCCTATGATGCATGGAAAACATACCTGCAATGTAACTGCAGCACTTTCGCGCCTACGTGAAGATATTTCATGCAGTAAATTCCGATAATGTATTCGTGTTAACCAACCACGTATGCAACTCTAGAAGTAAAACTTCGAAATTCCTTACGGCAGAATACCGAGAAGAACAAAAAAAGAAACGCAAGCGTTCCTCTCGGTGAATTTTATAAATTAAAATTCCAAAAGCTCTCTTTTATTTATTACCTCTGCAAAGGTTTCTAACTCTCAGCTTTCCTTAATCATGTTAATTATCTGCGTCAATTAACGAATGCCACATCGTTATGTTTACCTGTAAAACGCGCGCTGCATTCTCCCGTTTCTGCAAAATCCTTTTGTTTTGCATTTTGGATTTCTGTGCAAGCCAAAATCGAACGTGCTTCTAAAATTATCGTGCAAACAATGAAAAATCAGGCAAACTGACCTACAATTTGGAAAATGACTACTCCACGAACAATATATCAATAGGAACTCACTTGTATAATAAGTGATGCATTTTCTCGTTTCCTCATATCCTGCTCATGTAACAACCTCTGATAAAACGTTCGTGCAAGCCACCCACGAATAAATTTCTGAAAAGTTAACTGGAAATAATAAAACACTCGAGCACAATATCTCTCCAGTAACATAAGTTGAAAATATTTCTAAGCATAAATGCCACTAGCAGAAACTCTTGGATAAAATATCGAGCATACTCACAGTCTATCTCATACATACAATATATTTAAATTCTATGCACGTCTTTAAAAAACACATTATATACAGTTGATGTAACTGATATGCATATACTTGGATAATAACTGCTTTTGCTTCTCGTTTTTGCAAAGTCTTATCGCACTTCATCCTTTGGTCAAGCGTTCGTGCAAGCCATCCACGACAGTATCGCTGAAAATAACGAAAAATAAAACATAGAAAAGGAAATAATTGAATTATGGTTTTTTTTTCGCTTCAACATAGTGCTTCTTGCTACATTCCTTTGAAATATAAATATTCCAATTAATTACATGAGCGTATATTATTGAAATATTAATACTAACAGTAAGATTTTGCACTGTCCCGAAAGAGATCCTCAAACCATATTTACCTGTATTGTGATTGAAGCATTCATTCGTTTTGAATCTTCTCCCGTTATTTGAGATGATTCCGCTAACTGATCTAGTGGATACACCTAAAAAATGGCTTTTAAAGTGTTAGAAATTTAAGCAATAGTGAAACCTACCTTATCCTTCTTTCCACATAGAATTTCCTTCTGCCTTACTCTTAGCAAAACTGAAACTGCCTTGCATAACCATTTGGCTTATTTTTTATTTCTACAACTTACAGAACTCTTAACATACAAAAGTTATTCTTTGGAAAAAAAAGAAGTATAAACGATGAAAAGATGTCATCCATGGCGGCTCACATCTCTTCCAAAAAGCGTTACTTTATGAGAAATATCATAATTCATCCTTGAGGTGTTACGATATCGTCGGAAGGCACGTTGTATTATGACTGCAGCAGAAGTAGACTTATAACACTCATATATGCGTGATATGAAAATTTTGGTGAAAAGACATAGTGTTTTCTTTTCAGCTGTATTTTTCCATTTCATCAGCATCAACGATGGGATCCCAAAATGATGCTCAGCCTATAACATCATATTTCGCTATTGATGAATTAAAATCCAATGAAAGGATTCATGGTTCGGTGTGATGATCAATAAATTCATAGTAGACTTACAGCACTTGCAACTTGTTCCAAAACTGTTGTGCCGTCGAAAAGCTCGAACGGTCTACCGTATGAATAATACCGCTTCCATAATAAGGAAAACAGTTTTCCGTTAGCAAGTTCTAGAGGATTTCGTATCTGAAAAGTAAAAAACATGTTACATGCGTACACCTATTTATTTTACTATATATCAAACACTCACAAATTTATTCCAACCTCATATGATATGCCGAACAGGCTCAGAAGTTGTTGAGATATCGAATGAACCTCAGCATCACAATTATCTGATTCATTGATATTATCCTACAAGCAAGAACGAAAGTATATTAAATTTATAATAAAAAAATATGGCATAGGAAAAGTTCAAAGAGAATTTAAAAATGCTAAAATTCTACCAATTCTGTGCCAACAAATCGCCAAAGAAGTGGTATAATTACATCGATATTTCCTTGTACTATACCATCGATATCCACATACAAATCTCCAATGAATTTATTCATTACTCAAGGATTATTCTGAGAAAGCTTGGTTAATTTTATTCAACTTATACAAACTTCAATAGATAAAAAAATGTCTACTCTATTAAAAATTTTTATCTCACCTTCAGGAAGAATTCCTTTTTGCTTAGCAAAATCAATCACTGTTTTAACATTGCTCATTTTACGAAGTCGATCACCACCAGGATCACGTAGACAATGTATCACTGTGTTATACTGCAGTTTAGCTAAAATTTCGACTGTTCGTCTGAAATTTATTTCTTTTTAAATTAAATCACCTTGATACTTCATAATAAGGACTAGCAGGAAGGAATTATTACCCAAGAATCAACCCATTGCTAAGGTCTTTTAGTAAGTCAGTTACGTGGTACTGAAACTGTTCAAAAAATCCTTGTTTGCGATCCAGAGAAAGACCCAAAAGGGAAAGCGTTTTCGGTAAATTGCTGGTACCAGTCATCAATTCCCGACTTAACACTGCTACCACATCACTGATACTCTGGAATGTAAACATTTTATCAATCATGTAAGTAATTTGCGCAGTGATTGTCACACATCCATTCATGAGCTTAACACATACAAAATTCTGAAAAATGAAAAAATTCTCACCTTATAAGCTGACCATTTCAGAAAAAGACAGCGGTTTTTCCTCGACACTGCGTTATCTCGCCATGCCTTATCAACAATGAATAGAAACTGGCATATTTTTATCAGAAAATGCTGTAGAAGGGCTTCTGCGCCTCGGTTGTTTACGAGAATCCTGAAAGAACTGAAACTTATTTTGCCCATTAACAAAAATTCACTCATGTTTGCTCTTGAAGAACTTACTTTGCTCTTCCCTGCATGTATTTCCGATTATTCATGATTCTGGGATTCTTAAAGACATTTTGCGTAACTACAGAAGCAATGGTTTTCAGTTGGTTTTTGAAATCGGTCCTTGTTCCTATATTGATGGATAAGATAGTCTCCAGGCCCAATCGAAGGTAGAACGGATGGAAGCTCAGGAGTAAACTGAGCAATTCTGTTTGAAGCCCTGAAATTGCTTCATTTACAATTTCTCAACAGTTTATTGGAATTTCTAATGTCAAACTTACAATTTAAAACTAAATTTCACTTTCGAATTGGTTCAAAAAAGAAACTTACCGACATCAGCGTAAACCCGTCTGTCCATTCTAATTGCAATTTTACCATCTTTTACGAAGGTGACAATATCATTTGGGATGGGTGAACTTTCGTATAACAAACGAAATCTGAAAAGTTCTTGAATGCAGAGAAATAAACTTTATAACTTTCCAGTTGATTTCCAGTTAATGCAATGTTACCTGGCGCGCATTTCACTAAGTTCATTTGCAGCCATAAAACATTTGTAACTGATGTCATTTTGTGGTTCATTATCTTTCATCGCCGGAATATCGTTTCTCGAAAACAGCAGTTTCCTCAAGTACAAGTCAGCATCTAGGTTCAAGCAATGTATAGAAAACAATAAACAATATGTTAAAGACATAATAAACTAGAAAATTGGAAGAGAAGCGCAAAAAAAGGTTGACATAAATCATGAACTGCTACCTTTCTTGCTCTTAGCTAGAATTTCATTGTTATTAGTGGCATCACTGTTTTCATCAAGCAAGTAATTCAGCCATGATGTTAGTGCTGCTAGATGAACTAACTTTTTATCCATTTCTATTTTCTTGCACCGACCAATGAAATCATGTTCACCTGGAAAGAAAATTTGTAAAAGAAAAGTCAAGTGATGCCAAATAATCAAATAATTGAGAACCACCAGCAAATTTGGGACGGAAAAAAGGTAAGAGAGAACAACTGAGTAATACGTGTAATATAAGGAGTGACTAAATGCTTGAAAAAGGTACGATTTCTGTTTAATTTCTAAATTAAGCTTATTTAAAATCTTAACCGGAATACAACAGTCTTTTCTTCGGATATAAGTTTGTACAATAATAAGGAGGCCTTTATTTGTAATTTAATGCAATAAAATACAATGAGAAATTCGAATAAAGGGAAATGAAGAAAACTATAGTACTAATACAGGTGAGATAAAAAAAATAGGTGAATTTAAAGTGTTACACCTTCGCGTACTAACGGCTGGACAACATAAGTAGCGTTCTTGCTGGAATTCGAAATGGAACTGGCATTCGATGGAAATCGAAGTAAGGCGTCAGTATTTTTATTGCCTTCATGATCATTGATGGAATTTGGTGCTTCAGAAACTGAGCTCAAGAATTTTTCTTCCGTTTCATGTAGGCTGATGTGATCATGAGATAAACTTGATTCTAGAAAAATTTTTTCTAATGAAATTTGAAAACAAAATACCAAAGATTACTTAACAAAGTCGGTGAAATTTCTTTGCAGAAAATACTGTCAATTACTTTTAATTATTGCTTTCCGTAGTTCACATCCTTTTTTTAGTAGTTCCAGTTTCTTCTTCATTGTCGTATTTGAGGCGTTAGTACCAGGTGAAAAGTGCAATGAAACTCCGGGGCGGGGATCATAGATATCATCAGCTGAAAACTGGAGTAATGTTTCCGACAAAGATATAAATGAACAAAATAAACCCGCTCATAAGGGATTCTCCCTTATAAGATATCTTGTCTTTTATAGTGATGTATAAAAAGCAGATACTTGTCCTTTCAAAAAGTGACAGTGGTCCATAGAGACTGGACGAAATAATATCGAAATGATAAGTAATAATAAGAAAACACATTTCTTGAAGCTTTTCAAATAATCAATTTAGGCACAGTCGCATCCGTCCAACTATTCTTCACTTGAGGATATATATGACTGATTAATTGATATATAATTGGTAGTTAAAAAAAAGACTCAGAGGTAGCAGTGAAAGTTGCACCTGAGGATGTTTTCTGTCGGATTATTCGTTTGTTCGTAGGACTATACGGAACAGAAAAAAAGGCATCCTTCGAAAAAATCTGAATTTCAGTGAAAAATAAGATACCTTGTCTTTTATAGTGATGTATAAAAAGCAGATACTTGTCCTTTCAAAAAGCGACAGTGGTCCATAGAGATTGAACGAAATAATATCGAAATGATAAGTAATAATAAGAAAACACATTTCTCGCATTGAATTATATTACTGGCAAGCATTCATTAGGAAATCATATACGAAATTTAAAGAGCTTTCTATTATTACCAACTATCTCGTAATATTTAAAATTTTCCAGAAGTTAGTATTTTTTTCAAAGAAAAACAAGTCCAATCAAGCAGTTTTTTTCTTAAATTTTTTACTTCTTTGCCGCATATGTCTTTCAAAAATGTTTGGCTCTGCGAAAAGTAACACAATGAATCCAACTGTGATTCGTAAACGGTGTTTTGTGTAAAATTCGGAAGATTGTGACACGAAGTAAATGTAGACTCATCCTGCAGCAAAGTACGTGGAATAACAGTGCTGGTGCTATACATCGGTGTTGATGAACGGTCCCAAATGATAGTGTTTTCACGGGATTCATCACTTACTTTCCCTAAAATCGTATCATATTTTCATAACTATCATTAGAACTAGAAACAGTGTCTAATTATTTTCTACAACTCTCTTTCGATTGGTGAGGAGGTTTTATCTCCCGAAAAATCGATCAATGAAATAGTTCCTACCAGTTCACTTTTTCACCAGGTTGTTGGTGCTTTAAACCAATTAACATTTTCGTAATCAAGATAAAGGGTGACATCGTAGGATATATGAAGAGATAAAAGCAAATGAATAGTAAACCTTCACAGACATGTGGCACCACTCTTTTGAGACCTCCCGTCAGGGTATGCTTCATCTTACGTCCACTCTGATCCATCGATTCCATTTCTGTGAACAACAACCAATCATTTCTGATTATTTCGAAAAGAAAAAACTTCGCTTACCACCGAATCTTTCAAACAATCTTTCATATAATAAGTTCAAATCCAACTTCGATGCACAACGAAACAAGCATAAGAGATTAGGTAAACATGTAGAAATTAAATTTCAACTTAGAATACGTCGATTATAACGGAAGAGTAATTTAAATTTTTCCAATCACACTATCTTCAAGCCCCTAAATCCTCAAATAAGTTAGGTCGTTGTGTAAGCTTATCGTTAGGATCCTTCTCGTTCGAAGTGATTATAATTTAAATTTCACCAGTTTTATCAGTTTACTCTACCAGTCCGTGCTTACAGTTAACAGGGATGTCAGCATGCTAAGTTTTATGGTAACTGTTGGAGTTCTGACATGAAAAGCCATAAACAAATGCGATAGAGTTTTGAAGAGATTCATTGTTTAGATCTTTAGAATTCCTAATTCCTTCCAATATATTTTGCTGGGAAATTTTGCAACATCGGGAAAAAAGAAAATAAGTTATCAGAAACAATCATCACTCCTATCGACCCTATCATTGCGGAAGTATGCAAAGTAGGAGCATACAAACCACGTGGTATTTTGAGCGTTATAAACGCATCATAAAATCCGGAAATATGTTTTGAAATTCAGAAACACACCCAATACATCCGAAATATAATTCGGGAAGCTGCAAGCAAAAATTTCAAAATTGAATTACCCGCACAATCTTATGCCCGTGTAACAGCCCTCAAGCACATTGCACATTTCTTGACGTGCTGCATTGTTTTGCATACATTTGTTCGCTCAGCGTTATTGACGTGCGTCATTTCCGTATATTAACAAATTTTGTGGTTAAATTCAAATTAATCCTTCCAATTCGTTTTTCAAATTCACTTGAGACTTCCCGTCCAAGTTTTTTTGTTGCTTAATGGCAAAATGTTTGATTATCGAAGGAGTTTAATTTCATTTGATTTGTACTATTGGTTTTATTACTTGTAGGTTATTTGATTAGCAAATCAGAATTAGTTTTCATTAAAGTCAGAACATTCCGTTGGTTTTTGTGGCGCTATTTTATGTCTCTACGGAGGCTCATATCCGCGACTGGCTAAGAATGATAAAGTAGCTATCACGTAGGCTTGGGTCCTTTTTGTTGTACCTTTCCAGATCAGTAGACCTGGAATGATGTTGAAATAGGGCTTTTTTTGTCATACTTTTTCAGGTTGATCAGTTTGTCACAGAGAGTGGTGCTAAAATAGCAATGGATTTGGCCTTCTAACTGCGAAGAATATCGTCGTGTTTTTTGATCTTTATCAAATTTCTAAAGTATTTCCATTGGCTTTTCAGCTGGATAATGTTCAGAAACTTAGTGAATAGGATGGTTAACATACGAGAAATTCATGGTGTAAGCTATTCAATGCTGTCATTAATTAAACAAGCTTCACTCTTCTTTGATAAAACCTTGCATGTTTGTTAATTTGCTTCTAGTGGTCATGATAAGGAAATGGTGGAATAAATTATCGGTTGAAATTAAGTGTTGTCACTTATAAGAAACGGCTATTTTATAACTTTTGGAAGTTAACCTTAAAGGGTTGATTGTATTTTATGCGAGAGGAATTATATCGTAACATAGTAACATTTAAATTATGTTCATAATAACCTATTAATCATTTTGTCACCCCCAGTAATTAACTTATAATACATAGCTACTCAATTACCTACCTTTGTTCATTTGGTAGCGACTAAATTTCTTACTGAATGATTTCATCGTATATACATTATTACACAGAGAGTTCGGTGTGATCCGAGGCAAAATATGCAAAATTGATAGAACTGTTGCGACATCATTTAATTTTTAAATATTATTATATTAGAAGATAGCAATACACATATTCTCGTTTACTACATACCCCAGTTATTCTTACTGCAAATTGTGTGGTACTCGAAAATCATGACTGAAATTTTCAGATTTGTAAAATTATATCGCGTGCAATAAGTAATGTAAAATTGTTGAATCCTTCGGCCGCTTTGTACCCTGAAATAGGCGTATGTTTGGACAACAAACCAATAAGAATGAAGCTAAAAAAAGGCGAGCAATATTCTTGGTGTTCATGTGGTCTGTCCGGAAAACAGGTATTCATTTTTTGTAAACAATTACTATGGATTTTACATGTTTATAGTTTTTTATAAATTTGTGGATTGCGAACTTAATGGATTTGTCTTGCTGATTTAAATAGCTCTATTCCAAACTATTATTTATTTCTTTTTCTTGTCCATTGAAATCATGATAACCATAATATTTTAGCCGTGGTGTGATGGGAGTCATCATGCAGAAGGTGTAACAACATTAAGACCCATACATTTCGAAGTTGAAAAAGATGGAGAATACAATCTTTGCGGATGCAAAGCAACAAAAAATCGTCCGTTATGTGACGGTGGCCATGTTAAGGTACAGTCTCTTTCACTAATTAAACTGACATTATAGATTCTTGAAAGTTAGGAACTTTTGACACTTTTTCCTGAATCCCCGAAAGATCCGAATATTATGGGAAATTTCTGAAACTACTATCGGCGTTATGCCTCTGTAAAAGAACCACTGAAAGATTTGAATCAAACTCAGTAAATTCGTTTATTAATACCGATTACTTATGGGTTCGTTTTGTCGTTTCTAATTGAAGTACAGTTCTGCTACTTAAATTTATGATGGAATCTTTCGTTTGATGAGTTGCAGGTACAAAAACGACGATATACGGATACACCTCAATATTGTGCATATGTTGAATCACCTGTTTATGAAGGGGTAGCCAATAAGCTCGGATACAAACCAAAACAAGGGCGCTGGCACTTCTGAATTTAGTAAATTTAAAAAAAAGGAATGAGTATTGTTTAGTGCATCCGTGTAATTAGATTGGACTTTTAAATTTTCAACCTCATTTCGACTGAACATTAGAACAGAGATCAAGAAGGAAGAATATATATGTATATGGTTTTTTAAAAAGAAAAATCTACATTACTACTTTATCAGAATCTTTTTAACCAAACGATTTTCATTTTTTCATTCAAAACCATCGATGTAGTTTCCTTCAACAGCCAAAGCATTAAGCTTCGCTCTGTGTAGAAATGTTGCTTGCGCATCGTCCGGACCACGTATTATCCAGGCTTTTAGAGCTGAAGTTTGTAGAGCTCGGCCATAACTGCAAAATATATTTTACCATTTTACCACTAACTATAAGCTCTCAGAGATCCCACCAAGTGGGATTCGAGTTTTCAGAGAACAGATTATTAATAGGATATGTTTGAGAATATAAAACGACACAAACCTGAAAGAAAGTTTCCATGGTTTGTTGATTGCTATCTTATTAATTTCATTCAAATTTCTAGTAGCGTCTTTTTCCAGCTGACCACCAGATAAGAAAACGATGCCCGGCACTGCTGTAGGCACCGTTCTTCTTAGCGCTCGCAATGTTTCTTTAGCGATTCTGTCGTGCCCAACCTTGAATTCATAACTGCTGTTTCGAAAACAAATATTTTATGCTATAGCTACTGCAAATTTGAATGTAATTTGAAACTTCCTAAAAACATGTTTTAATAGCGCCTTTCATAACTTAGTCATTTGATAACACTGAAACTGTGCATATTGCTAAAGTTGAAATAACAACCTTGTCCGTGGATTTTGATCCTGGTACAACCATATTCGGTTTTAGAAGAGTACCTTCGAGGTAAACACCATGATCATGAAGTGATTTATAAACTTCTACTAAGACTTGTTCCGTAACTCTTTCAGCCCTTTCTAAATTATGTTCACCATCGCAAAGAACCTAAACAAGATCAAATCTTTGCTGGTCAATGTGATCGGAATATTAAATATTGCGGTACCATGAACTAACCATTTCATAAAAATTACAGGAAGACTTTCAAAATAATCGAACCTCCGGTTCGATTATTGGTACAAGCCCTGCCTGCTGGCTTGAAACTGCGTACTGTGCTAGTATCTTGGCATTTTCCTTCAGAACTTTTCGTGATGGCGTAACTTCGGAAATCACATACACGCAACGCCATTTTGCAAACTGACATCCATTTTCTTTGAAATATATAGCTCTTTCTTTCAAATCATCTAGACCTGTAACAGAACACACACGCAAAGTATTCAGATTCTGGTCTCGAATTTCTCATTTAAAAACAAGAAAATCACATCCTGCCGGACAAAGGAATTCAAAAGTTAGTGTTTCAATTACATAAAGAAAATTAGTATTCCAGTTATATTTACTCACCTTCTGTGATGTATTCTAAACCACCATCAAACTGCTTAAGACCTTTGTCAAGCTTAATTCCCGGTAACATGCCGGCTTCCCTGATGATGTCCACAAAAGATTTACCAGCATCATCTCTCTAATAATTAAAAGATGTCATGAGAAAAGTAAGGACTATTCCTACGATAATTTCTCGTAAATTTTCGAAAGAAAAAACTGATTCTGACTTGATGGTGTCTGGTTAAATTAATTTTAATGATTGATACAACTATATGCGCAATTATAAGTTTGCAAGGGCGAAACTGGGACTATATGAAAGGAAAAAAAATCAAGATCTCAATTGTTCTCGTGATGCTAATAGATTGGTAAGTCACCTGACTAAATGTTTCTTCATGCAGTATAATTCCTGAAATATACTGCGATATATTTGATGTTGTGAATAGCAAATATCGATAGTTTTTTCGGTTTCTTGCATTGTTTTCCATTCCAATCGTAGCGAACCGTTTACCCATCGTGCCTAGAAATTATGACACCACTAAATCCCTCGGGTCTTCATTCCATCAAACTAATAATGTGAAACGACCATGTACGTAATGAAATGTGAGATGAAGCGGTACAGTTTTCCTCTTACAATGGCTAGTACTATGCTGATGGTGATGAGAAGACATCTCAAAGCGAATTTAAACTTTGATAAGATATCAACACTTTACCGATGCTTTCATCAGCGGCTAGAATGCCTTTTCCGGATTCCACAAGCTTTCGGGCGATGGTATATAATTCATCCTTTTGATCTTTGCTAAACGTTGTTATCTCAACAATTGCTTCTTCCTCCTCAACACTTCTTTCATTGCTGGTATTTCGGTAGTATGTCAAAAGAGTACTTATAATGATCACCAGTACTCCATCAATCGATAATCGGCATATGTTCAGTGGCATTCATACGGATTTGTCTGAACTATCTCAAATTTTTTTCTCCTTTCTCCGACTTCCTGAAATATTTGGATGACCTTCATCACAAATATGTTCTACTAGGTCAGGTCAGGCCAAAATGTGCCGAGAAATACAGAACAATGTGTCGGAATGGTGTCCAACACTACAAGACGAGATATAATATTTCATTATGTGTGCAATGATGGGCTTTGTTATTTCTGTTCAGTTTTAGGGCATTGTTGAGGGCAAGTTGTGATTTCTCTTTGGTGTCATTTGTACTCTGATTGGCTGTGCTTCACGATGGTGGTCTTTGTTGGTTAGGTTGAGATGTCTCAGCAAATATGTGTCCTTACTTTCTTTGTGTTACGTACACATCCTTTCATAAACACAGTTACTTACTGATATGGATGATAAAACTCATTTCATTGTTTTCGGGTTCGCTGTTTGATTGTTGTTAGTAATAGGAGCTTGTGAATACTTGTCAGTAGGTGTTATGACGATAGTTCTTGGGACATTTTTATTTTAATTTCTAGTCCTGATTTCTTACTTCTCAATAAGTGAATATTTTTTAGGGGTTTGTTAACCACGGCAAGATGCAGATATTCGTGAAGACATTAACAGGAAAAACGATCACCCTTGAGGTAGAATCGTCTGACACTATTGAGAATGTGAAAGCTAAAATTCAGGATAAAGAAGGCATTCCGCCTGACCAACAGCGACTTATTTTTGCAGGTAATTTTTAAATTTCCGCTTGAATTAACCTAAATCAAAAACTTTTCGTGTATTATGCGTGACATGACCAAACGTGCTCTACTTCGGTTATGATGATACATTGGTGTTCAAAGGTGTCCTGGCCTATGAGAGTATCATGACTTAAAACGTTCACCTCTGAGTCGAAGTATTCTTGAAACTGAGCAACTTGCTAGTCTCATGGTTTCAAATATTTTCCGAATTTGTCAGTTGGTTTAACTTTGAAATCGCTGATTCCCGAGTGTATTATACTTCAGTGTAATACATGAGGACGGACCAGCTGTATTCATATTTTGATTTTTTCTAACGAGCAGGTAAACAATTGGAGGATGGTCGAACACTATCAGATTATAATATCCAGAAGGAGTCGACACTCCACCTTGTGTTGAGGTAAGTTTTGTAGATATTGTTTTAATCGATTTGTTTTTTCCGTGGTTGTGATGTTAACCTTGCTTTGGTGCCCTGATTTGATGAATGAAATAAAGCTCTCTGAGCCACGATTGTTTCTTCTGAAGTGGTGGACAAATATTATCTTGTCTAAAATTACATGTAATATTAGATTACGAGGTGGTGGCAAGAAGAGGAAGAAGAAGGTTTATACTACGCCGAAAAAAAACAAGCATAAGAGGAAGAAGGTCAAACTTGCCGTCCTGAAATATTACAAAGTAAGTTGTTACGAGTATGGTCAGATTGTTCATGAAACAGAAGAGCTTGTATTCTGTATGCATGTTTTCAACTCAAACGGTTGGTCATTTCACCGTCCATGGCCATGCATAACCATCATCTGAGTTTTTTTTATTCATCTCTCCAAATCCCAGGTCGATGAAAATGGTAAAATCACCCGTTTACGGAAAGAGTGCGCTTCGCCATCATGTGGTGGAGGCGTTTTCATGGCTAGTCATCAGAATCGATACTATTGCGGCAAGTGTCATCAAACATTGGTAATGCAAGACCCAAAAGAAAAAGCTACTGGAAAGACTAAATAAATTTATGTTGTTATTTACACTGGTGTTTGGAAACGCTTCAGAATAAATCCGTTTTATATATATATATATATATATATATGTTATGCACAGTAGGCAATCGCAAATGGTTGTTTTGGAAATGGAAATAAGCTCAAGACTTGAAACAAATTTGGATTCAAGCAGATTTCATGTAGGGAAACCGTGGATGCAATATTTGACATGGTATCTATATGGATGTTCTTTTTTCCTCGTGTTGAGGTGATGAGGTTGTTAGATTGTTCGAGTGATTGGTTGACGGAATATTGTCATTTCTGAGGCTATCAGTTTTGCAATGGATTTGTAATTCCATTTCGATTAAATTACAATGACAAAATATGGCCTAGTCTCATAAGAGATTAATATGTTGTGGAGTCTGCGTGCAGCTGCTCTTGACCGTGTATATGTTGCACTGATGTCAAGACAGTATTACTTGTTTTTCAATTTTCAAATTAATCAGCGATCTTGACATGGTTCGGTAGTACCATCCCAACGACAATCTAATTTTTATTAAATTTTGACTGGGCTGTAAAATTTGAAGAAATGTAATACTGATGTCAAATTTAGCAGTGAAGTGCAAAAATAAAAATGAAAAGGTGGGAGAAAGCATTGACTGGAGAATATGAAAATGCTTACTGTTGAAGTTAAATATAGCGAAAGAAAAAATAAGGCTCATGTACAAAATAGAAATGGCGAGAAATGGGGACGAACTTGATTTAACTCCAAACTGATTAAAAATGGAATCTCCAAACTGTACATTTGTCACTTCTGGGGATTATTTAAAATTAGAAAAAGTTGGTTGAATAGCATTCTGGAAATTTCCACTTCCTTCATAACAAATATTTTCTTGCGATTCAAATGAGTTATTTCGATATATTGAGTGGAAGATTGCATAGTTGATAAGAAGAGATAGCAGGTAGTAATATCAGCTGAGCAAAAGTTCAGATGATTAACAATTGTTTTTGGTTGATTTATTTCACCTGCGACTAATTAAAGCTGTTCTGCTACATAGATCATAAGCTGATATGTTACACCAGCCACAACTGGCTTGGCAATTTTCGGCCATCCATTGCCTCCTTTGATTGCATTCACCTTGCAATCGCATGTAGGGACACGAAATGTGCCGATCGAAGCAACCTAAAATATTCTTCGGAAACGGATATAAATATTAAATAATACTTGTTTAATTTAAATCAAATTAAAACTAAGAATCTGCAATCCAATTCTTCTGCATTGATTTATTTCAATTCAGTTATCTGGAAATTTCTCCGGGATGAACTAAATTTTAGCTTAGTTTAACTTCCAGCTAGCTTAAAACGGTTGGTTCAATTACTCAAATTAATTGTTGGTTTTACTAGAAAGAGAAATGCTATCATTACCAATTCGTGTGTCATTAGTGCTTCTGCAATAGCCACAACTTTTACGGCAATACATCCTCATATATTGAACATTATTGGGACATTCACCATTCTTGGCCCACAAACTACAGCATGGATCATCATTTAAACATTCTCTCTCCATTTCCTGCTCATTTTTTATAACTTTAAATCACTTTTTAGTACTTTTTTATATTCCAAAAATGATTACCAAATTGAAATAATAAAAATTTGAAACAATTCAAACCGTACTGTTGTTGTCTTAACAAAGTTACGAATATGATGAACAATTTTATTTCTCGAAATTGATTTATTCTTAACACGTTGTTTTGCAGGTAAATTTGTGTGATTCTGAGAAAGAGGTCGAATGATACGGAAAGGTGTAGTATGTTGAAGAGATCGAAATGTTGAAGTAGATGGAGTCTAAATGGAACGAAAATAAATTCTAAAGAGATACATAGAAATAGGATAGAATCAGGTTACAAGATTGAAATTTGATCTGATCTCATATCAATCTTTCATCATTCTACTTACCGAAGTGATGCTTTTTGGTCTGCAATAACCATCCAAACAAACTCCCATATAACATGCATCTTCACCAACAAATTGTTCACATCCTTTCCCAAGTTTAATTTTCGAAACACAATGTGCAGGACCATTTCGTAAATCACAAAATAAGAATTGCGAATGGCAAGTTGGTTGGCTATGATTACAATTTGGTCGTGGCGCATATGTGTACAAATAATCCGTATATGCATTCGATAAACCTATGTGATTGGGATTTTTTGTATCAATTAATTCAGGTTAAATTTGTTGCATAGCTTTCTGTCTCTCTCTCTCTCTCCCCCCTCTTTCCCTCTCTCTCCCTTTCTCTCTCTTTCTTCCTGTTCTACCTTTTCTCAACCAATTTAAAAGATGGAAAAATTAAGTTAATCAAATTTGCATACCTTGTCTGTTTACTAAATTGAATGGGCGCATTTTTGCATTAGCAAAATGAAGAGAACTTGTACAAGATATGATCTCTTCGGGATAATCCTGAATTAATCAATAATATCAATGTTGCTATTTCACTTCATCCTTTTATAACTTCCAGATAAAAATGAAAGAACTCAATAAAAGAAAAGAAAAAAAGAACGAAAAACAAAAAGGAAAGCAAAATTTGTCTAAAAAAAGATGGAAAGAAGAGAAAATAGATAAAGAACGGAAAAGACAAAAACTTTGAAATTTTTCGAAAAAGTTCTTTGATAACAAATAAGGCGAAGTATTGTAATAAATTTAATTTTATACTTAATATTGGCCAACAATAATCAGAATTATTTAATTTAAAATTCATTTTTTCTTAAGTTAAATAAAATTCAAACTTGTCATTTTTCTTCTTCCCTTCACTTTCTTAGTAACCTTCCTTACCATATTTGCTTTTCTTCATCGCTTATAATAAATTCCAGCATAAAGCTATCTCATAGTTCAACGAAAAATTCCTTGAATTTTTATTTATTTCGAGATTAGTTTAGATAAGGAATGTTTATAATTAAAATTAATAAAAAGAAAGATATCAGTTTCAGGAATTCACAAAGTACGCACCCTTTCACGTTCCATTCGATTTTGATGCATACGTCGCCAATTTTCAAATATATAATCGACGAATGAATGATGTAAGAAGAAAACAGGATCATTAGCAGAGGTCAACGGAGGTTTCATATCACCACCTACCCAAATATGAACACTGGCATGGTAATATTCTAGGGCGGAGAAATTTGGAGGATATGGACAAGCTGAAAAATGATCCAATTATTGATAAATAATGAGGAAACTACTGGACTGAAATAAATGAGTATTGATAATATCCAAAGAATTCCACCCGTATCCTGTTATTTTGATGTTTGTTTTGGAAAATTTGCGTAAAATTCTGTTATCAAGAGGTCCAAAAAAAAAAAAGTTACCTGATATTTTTTCTTGCAATATTTTCTTTTCATATTTGGAGAATTCAAAGTGATATGAATAGAAGGCTTTTAAGAGACAAAGGAATTCAATAACAAAAGTAGATGAAGATTTATTAGTTTAATTAAAAGATTTTATTAAAAAATATTTATCAATTATCTCCCCTTTTCTTTGTTCTTCCTTTTTTGCCCACATTTTTCATCATCGTTTTGATAACAACCGATTATTATTATCATTCTTATCACCAATAATTAAATATCTATAATTTGTTCATAATAAGTCTTTGCTTCATTACAACTTGCCTCGTGTCGGCGCTGTATAGGCTAATATTCCTTCAATTGTACCTTTATCATAAACCATGTTAATATTTTGATCTGTAAGCAAATGTCCTTCTTGTCCAAGATGCCTGAATAAACGGATTTTGTGATTGTTCAGGTTCAGAAAACAATTCCGAAATATCTGATGAAACGACTAGATGAGAATGATTTTTGGACCTGGTTATAGTTGAATGACCTTCAAGTGTAGTGAAACCAGCAAATGGTCCATTAATTACTTGTCCATTTAAATTACTCTCTCCCATTAGGAAAGAACTCCACATAATGGAATTTCGAGGATCAGATAAATGTTGATCCAGAGATGAATCCCAGTACGGTAATGCAACCAATGGATCAATTAAACGTAGCGCAATTTCCATTCTACAAGTGGAACATGATTAAATTCATTAATTTGTAAATTGACTTGAAAATTCTTGAAGTATAGGAAGTAAAAGGAACTTTAAGGCTTTAATTTGGGATGAAATTAAGAGGAAAATTGAAAGTATAACGAAAAAAGATAAATAATTTTGAATCTTTCCTATTTCTTGTTTCATTCGTATTAAAAAAGAAAACGAAGAAATAGTAATAAATAACTTGTATAGTTTTATATAGCTAAGTTAAATTAGTTATAAACTTAAAATTTCGTCCTTTTGTGAATCTCTTTCATATGTTCAATTGTTAAATTTAATGCTTATACGCTTTTCTTGCTCAAAGGTTAAATTTGAAGAATTAAAATGTGATAAATTTTATTAATTTATCGAGAAGAAAAATCCTATAAAAGTTAATTTGTCTCACAATCATAAAAACGTTTATCATTGTGAGTACAAAAAATATTTTCAATATCTTGTTAGGCTTTTAAGGAAAAGCGCAGAAAACTTTCAAAGTAAAATTCATCAATCGATTTTGAAGTAATCGCTTAATTTAGAATAAAGTCTTTTTTCTATTTTTAGCACATACTAAAATGTTTTACTTTAATAGTTGTCATAATTTCTGAAAAGACTGCTGAACTCTCAAAATTGATCAATAAATTTCATTTTGAATCATTTGCTCCCTCATTTAAATATTTGAGATAATTTTTCACTCAGTAAATTCAAGCAACAGCAATTAGACACAAATTTCAAACCTTTTTATAAATTCCCGATGCCATAACAAAAATGACGGTCCTGAATGGGCTCCACTTTCAGATGCTTCCTAAATATCGTTTATTGCTATATTACTTTGTATTAGTAATAGCTATATTTGATTTATAATGTTATTTGCATATGAGTTTGTGTCATCTAAAACATTTCTTGTATTATATTATTTTTGTTATAGTTTCTATGCATATTGATTAGGCCTAAATTTAATAAATAACCTTTGAACTTTCCTTTGCAGAGGTTACTCTGCAATAAAGAGATAAAATTAGGTTACTCTGATAGCACAGATATAGATCCAGATATACATCACCCTTTTCACACAACTGTTTAGCACCTTGGATATAAAGCATGGAGTTTTGAAACTCTTTAATCCGAAACTTTATATCTCACAATTTAAATTTTCGTTCTTTCTAATTCTCACTCCATGATTCATTTATATTTTGCCGCATCCTAAATTAAAAGGGAAAATTTGAATCTTGACACTATTCACTGAACATCCTATTTAAGTTTTGTCTGAAGAATTGAATAGGTCCTTTTGTCCTTCAGATGGATACCTGTCGATGTATATCTGCCAAACGATTATACTCTCCTGAAGCTTTAAGTTGTCGAATCGCTTTAAGGAATCGTTCTCTTTCACTGTTATTTAACATACGAATTTCCTTCCGGATTGCTCGTTGCAGTATTTGACCGTTCCACAAGTGACATTCTCCATTCGGTGATAAAGCACCCTGTAAAGAATGATCATTCCCTGGTATTTAAAATTTACAAAACTAATTTTAGGATATCCTAAACATCTGATATAAATTTTGGTTAAAATTTTGACACCCTTAAAATGGCGTAATTAACTTAACCTACAACAAAAAGTCGTTTCCATTCATAGAAAAATCCGTTTTTAAATATTTCAAATTATGAAAGTCTTTGAAAACAAAATTTGAAAAGGAGAAAGACTAAAATATTTACCCTAAAATATGGACATAAGCATTGCAAATCCAAACAATCATAAACTGATGAAACAAATGATGGTTGACGCGCTATTGCGGAAGAAAGTTGATGATTGTGCGGTACTGCCGGTGCATTGATGATCAGTTGAGATTGCGGAGCGACAAATGACTGGACTCTCCTTGGTGCTCCATCGAATTGACGAAATTGACGGCAAATTTCCAAAAAGCCTGATAATTGCTTTCTACGTCGACACTATTTCTCAAGATAATATGAAACCTTAATTGAAATTTCATATTTGTCAGCGGAAAATATGATGACATTTTGTTAGAATTACCCAAACTGTGCTATCATAAGTTGCTTTCTGATAATGTCACAATTACTCAAAAAATTATATCAGTGTTTCAAATAAGCTGGTGATATGCTAGTGATACCGATGTGTATAGTTTGCATTGATCAACTTGGTAGTGATATTAATCAACATGGATAATATTCTTTCGATTCATTTGAGATATGCTTAGATTTTCTTTGATACTATCCAGCAGTTGGACTAGATTTGCACTAATTAAACGATTCAAATGGAGTAGAAAATTTGCATATTCAAAATTAGGTGAAAACGTTTCAGAAATTAGACAAAAAAAACAAAACAAGTGAAACAAACGAGAAGATGCTTGATTGCAATCAACAGGTAACATCATTTGTTGTGATCTAGCCAATGATATCATGAATATGATAATGCCTGTTTGCTCCAGTGATAAAGTTATCAAATAACTGTTAAGTGAAGTCATTCTGCATCAAGTCTGAAAAATTACATTTCATATCAAATTGGTATATCAAAACATCGAGAATGGTTATCAATTGAAATAATTGTGCCGTGAATCCCAATTCTTAAACATTCGATTGTTCCCGAAAAACATTATGTAGATGTATGGGAGGTTAAAATAAGGTCAAAATTAAAATATTAGTCATCATTAACTTAGTGAAATATGTCGCAGTTTACATTCAGATAAATTTAATGATAATAAACAAAAGTATTTGTTACCAATAAACTTGTCAAAATGGTGCAATTATAAAAAAAATGATTTGTTTTAGTCGATTTTTAATTAATTACCTGAAATCAAAGTTTGTTCTATGAAAGACAAAAGCAAAGTTTTTTCAGTTTTAACTTTAAAAAGTTGGAGAAATTTGGGAAGAAAAAGCTCGTTTGATATTAGTTCAAAAAAACAAACAAAAAGCTAATTTGTTAAACAAACAAAAAGTTAATTTGTTTTTTCCTAAAAAAGTTTAAGCAAAAATTCAGAGGTTAAAATTTTTTTTATTAGACAGTTCAAAAGATTTGCATTATTACTTGATGTCACATCCTTTTTCTCCCTAATATTTACTCCTCTTCTTAAAATACTTCTGTATTGAAACATTACACCAAAGATTCACAAGGTCACCGTAAAAAAAAAAGGGTTTACGGGATGGTAAGAAGAAATTTGTGGAAGTATTTCTCAGAAAAATTCATTCCAATTCTGGTAACTCTTTTTTTATGAAAAAATAAATTATTACAGAAAAATTAATAAAAATTATAACTAAATGACACCTGAAATAAAGATTTCGAAATGATTGGTAGGAAAACGAGAAAATTTCACTGATGCGAAATTGTTTGCATTCATCACTCCAAAAATTGGTAATCGTTATGAAATCTTTATTTCAGGTTTCATTTATTATTTTTATTAATATCATATTTTATGTGTGAAATTGAGAAGCCAATCTTTTTGGAAAATTGAATTGAAAGAAAAAGATTTGGGAAAATAATTAATTGAATAAATGTTTGTTGCATAATGTAATCAATATTAATTGGCTAATTTAATGGACGCAAAGCAACAAGAGATGTTAACAATAATTAAAATTAAAATAAAAGGAAAAGTGAAACAAATCATTAGTTTATCAATGCAGCAATTTTTTATTATACATTTAATCGATTTATAATGGTCATAAAAATTTCTTTCCAATTCTTTTAAATTTTATTTTTTCATTCCTGGTAATGTGTGAGTAACTAGAACTAGAAGAACTTATCATTTTACAGTATTACTCTTTACTTTCTGAAAATGAAAGAACAAAATCAACTAATTAAATATGCAAATTTGAATTATAATACAAGAAATTAGTTTAATTTTGTTCAACACAAGGTTATAAAATTCTATTCATGAAAACATTTGCCCACTGTGATATTATCTCAGTTTTTTTTTTGATTCTATTTTAAATAGTCATATTTTCTGGCTTTATCTTAAAAAATAATAATGATTACATTGCCTTATTATTGACGATCACTGATAATTTTATTATTAATGTGTATCTTTTTATTTTAACTTTAGTTTTCACCATCTAAGTTAAAATTGATTTGAATCACTTTCAGTTTTATCCAACATTTCTAATTTTTTTTAATGTAAATTTTGCAAAGTTGAAAACTAACCTATGCAAAATCTAGTCTTCCACATTGCAATATCTACAGTATAAATGCAAAATATACATTTTATGAAGTTAAAAAAATCAATCCCAGAATTAATTAAGTTGGTTCATTTCGCAATTAATTAAGCTATTCAACTATTTGAACATATAATGTATGACCATATTTATTATCCAAATACGAGATAAAAGATAATGGAACAGGAAATATGTGATGATGATTATGACCACTTGAAGAATCGAATTAATCATGAAACTAATTAATCATTTCATCATTTCTCCTTTCACCATTAAATAGGTCCAAACTTTATTTTGTGCCAAGTACTCGAATACTTATTTTTACCAAACGACATTCCACATCAAAGCAAGTATAATTGAGCATAATAAAATTACGAAAAATTATAAATGTAGTCAGTGGGAAATGCATTTGGAAATTTTTCCGGAATTTTTTTCGGTTCCTTCTTTATAAAATAATTAAAGTAAATAGCATTTAATTCCATTAATGTACAAGCATATATATATATATATATATATATATATATATATATATATATATATATATATATATATATATATATAT